AGGCTTGACTTTCAAATATTGTTAACATTTGTATCCAGTCGACGTAATTGCGACTGCTCTTGTTGGTGAAACTTGATGCATACCACGAGATGTTTAGCGCCATTTATTTTCATCCGCTCTATAAGCTAGAGGTCCCCAGCTGCACTACAACTGTGCTTATACCCCCATGTTTATCTTTCAAGAATTTCTTTCTAAAATCTTTCTAATTAGTTTGCATTGGTGGTTTTTACTTTAAATCTCACGCTACCACCAAAGGATTTGCTGTTCTCACGCACTCAATGCTAATGGTGGCGATCGTCGTCAGTGAAGAGGTTGCTACCTTGGCAAGACGAAGTTGAAGGCCTTTGGTGTAAAGTAAGCACAGAGAGTTTTTCAATGCATACTAGCAGTTAATCTGCGTAGATGATAGTGACTTTAGGTGCAAAAACTCATAAAAATTCAAAAATCGAAACTTTAGCTCTCGAAACATTGGACCATTGGAGTTGTCAATTGGGAAATTCTTGAGGAAAGGTACGACTGCATTTGGTCACACATTAAACAATCAACAGATTTAAAGAACTAGTAGAGTATATCAAAAGCTCACTGCGAAACTCATTCCTGATTTAATGTTTTTTTTTTAAATGCCAATCTCTATTTCATACAGCTACCGCCGCTTTTCATTTCGACTGTTCATAGACCATGGAAGTTGACGAGAGCAAATGTATCCTTACCAAGTGCAAAAACATTGAATAGGTTTAAGAACTGGAAGGTAAGGGAAAAGCTAAAGGGGTAAGGCACATGAAACATGGAACTTCTCGAACAGAGAAAGTAAACCAGATGCTTACAGCGATTGGATTCTCTTCATTTTGGGCTGCAACATGCTGCTACTACCACCGTTTGGATATACGGTTAAGGATGCTTATGATACAGACACTAGCCACATGCCTTTCGTCAACCATAACCTATTCTGTGTATAGGCTGCTATGTCTATCCGTCCAGTTTCTTCAAAATGTCTTCTCTCTCTCCCCGACTTATATCTTTCTCTACCACTTGCCTTTCGCGATATCCCTTGTCTATGTTTACCTTATCTAAATTCTTCTCTTTTCCTTACCTCTCTAATATTCGGACAATCTATGCCATGATTTGTTTCACACAGAACTTCTCTAATATGCCTCTACTCTTTGCTCCTCCTACCCAAGTATGTCAACCTAGAACAATTACCTCTGCTTTCCACCAACCTCCTCCTCATTTTACCAATGCTATAAATACAGCAAGCTTTACCAGGCGCCCTTTCGCTGCTACTAATCATTGCACCTCATAGTTAGCGTTAGCCCCTGTACATACGCCATTAATCTGAATACAGACAGATAATGGTAGCAGAAGCGTGCACCCTGGACCGTGCCATACGTTAGGGACAACTTGACTACTTGATGGCCATAGGTTACAGTGGCAAAAGCGCCGCCTTTGAAAAGCATGAAAAAATTAAAATGAAGTCATTGACACAAAGGAGGCTGATTACACGTCCTTGGTGTTGATAGCTCTGAGCAGTCTCTTATTGCAGTAAACAACCTCCCACGAGCCTCAAATACCATACTGAATCATGACCATGGGAAATGAAGCTGCTGCAGCCTCGGTCCACAAGTCGATTCAATAAATGACGACATATTCTGTTTGTGCCTGTTATCAACACTATTCACAAAAGGCAGTACAAATCGTTATGAGCCAAATAACACAGTCAACCTATTTTCCTTTTCAATTTTGGGTTCTGGTGCTGTCCAACAATCGCTCTGCATCAAAGGGGAAATCCGACTGTTGCGGACAAAAAACGTCATCGTGTTGAGAAGAGCCGTCGTTTACTTTGAATCTGGCATTGGAATTGTGTGCAAAGTTAAACGCTTTGGAGGTCAGCCATTCCTCCTCTTTGAAGGTGGCCTAAATCACACGGTGAGGTGAGACAATAGGTAATAGTCAACGCGTAATTCTAATGCCATTCTTGCACACTGCCGAGGCCCAACATCCGCCAGATGCAAGGCATTCCATTAGCATCAACATCGTGGTGAGGGGAATGTGCACCCTGCTTCTGTCATTGGAGGCGTGCCATACATTGCGTGAGAAACTTTGGACGATTTGAGCTACAGCTCATTGCATTTAGTGACTCGGAGAGTTAAGTCGGCTCATGCACAGCGTACCAATTTCGACTGCAATGCTATTGTGGACTGAGCGTCGTCTGTAGGCTTACATGGAAAAGAAGTCCAATGAAGGTGTTTAGCAGCAATTTGCTCAAATTTCTTTGCTTAGGTATGAAATAGCGTCGCCAGAAAGTAGTGCGCAGGGTTAGAGTAGTGCAAATTATTGCAATTTTTAAATGTTGCGAGCTTGCGTACCTGGTGGCTGTGGAAGCCCTCTCAGTGATATTCACGTCGAATCGTGATTCCTCGAAAAGCAAATGCCACTAAGTAATTGTCTTCAGGGGTGACTCTGAAAGCAGTTTTTAATGCACTTGATTGTTAATATTTAACTTGTGTTATCATAAAATAGGATGAAGGCGATGTGAAAGAAAGAATGTAAAAACGCATAGAGATCACTAAGTAATCCATTTAAGGTAGAGGTCTTTATGATCCGACTTGTGCTTAAAGGGAATTTGGTTGAACATTGAGGCTGCAGTATGGCTTTGACCCCACATCTTTATGGTTCATTCATGCACAAATTTTTTTTCAATTACAATCTCCATCTTACTTACTTCAGTTTCTGCACGATTTTAACAAAACTACTTCAATCTCTCCACTTTTCTTTGCTCTGTCATTTCTCACTCCACGTACTGCAAAATGCCTTAATTTTTTGTTTGCATTTTGTGACATATCTTGTACTTGATTGCTTAGTTTTTCTTCTCCTCTAGCAATCCCACAATCTGCGTCATAATCTGTCTCAATTAAGAAATCTTTAATCCTTCTTTTCTCATTCTCATGCATATCATCCGTGCCTTCCTGCAGATGCTGTCGCAGCTCCCAGTTCCTCCTCCGATTAACACGCCAAATATAACACACCACCAACAACACAACTGGCCGAATATTCTGACGACACATGTCCCATTTACATGGATGCCTAAAGTATTTGAAAAAGGTTAAACAGCAACCGCCACAGCCTACATATTTCGCGTCCTACAATGGCCTCGCGTTAAGGAGAAATCAAGCTCATCATTGAGGACAAACTGAATTAGCGCGTTGGCTTAAATAATTCATAATGTAAGGTACGACATTCGCCCTCTCCATTAAAGTCAAAACACTGCCTGCGTGGTTTCATAAAATTCGCGATAGTTAAAAAATCGTAGAGCCACTTCAAACAACCAGCAAATGCAGTAAACTGTATATCAGAATGTAAAAAATACTGGTGGTAAGTGTATACTCACATAATCATGCGAAAATTAGAGCTTAATAAAATGTTTAAAGTGAGGTACTTTGCCGTAGCAAAGGATAAGAACTGTAAAAAGGTGAAAAATTGGAATAAGATTGGTGGCGTCCGTGAAAAAATATCACATATATTAAAAGAAAATTTCCTAAGCGGTGTATATACGTCAAAACGACCATCTCCCAATATAAAAGCGACAAAGGAAAAAAAAACAGAGCTATGAGGAAGTAAAAAAGGCCACAAAAGTAAGAAAAAGACCACGAAAAAAGGAATAAGAATAGGGTAAAAAAAATTCAGCGGGATATGCTAGTAAGGTAAAAGAAGACGAGAAAAAGGCAGCAATAAAAGAGAAAAACTAGCACAGAAAGGCAAAAAAAGAGGTGAAAAACAAGTGTTATAAAAGAAAAGAAAAAGAAAAAGGGAATAGGGAAGAACACGGGTAGGGGAATAAGATATTCGTGGGCAGAGCATTCGAGCACACGAGCAGCAGGATGCTTGGGAAGTGGGAGTGAAAGATCAGGAAGTAGCGTACCTCCATCCATGCTCATCGCACAAGGAGACGCGAAGATTTGCACTCTTGAAGCGAGGAGGCGCCGCTGCCACTGCCTTTTGAACAGCCTCTGCAGTGGAGAAGGCCACGAAGGCTCTGTGCATCTCCTCATCCACTCTCACATGCGTAACCGCTCCGAATTTACCATAGAAGGATAAAATATCATTCAACTTTGGGACAGGCGGAAGATCATCTACCACCAACTGATGACCCACTTCGACATCATTCGAAGCCACTTCGTGTCTGCAAATGGAAATATGGCATTCACAACCACCAGCATCAAACTCACAGTGCATCCGTTGCACCAAGCGTGGACGCCACTTCGAGCCTCGTAAACACCACATGGCCAATGTGCTAGTGGTGCTTCGTAGGAGGGGTGCAGCGAAGAGTCTACGAGTGGCATGCGAGTTAACACAATAGACTGCCATATTGCTGGATTGGTGAGTTATAGGCAAAGGAGTTGACAATCCCATCGCCTCACTCTTCTATTTCTTGTTGACTTTTATCACTCAATTTTTATTTTGCTGTTAGTGAACTAGCCTTTTTTGTCTTTTTTTTGAATATCTCCTTATTTTGACAGTTTTTTTTGATTATTATTTTTACCTTTTGACATTTCCTTCTCCCTTTTGTAGCCAGTCCTTTTATATATTTTTTTGATTTTTTTTCAATTCTTCTTCTTTTTTGTCTTATGTTTACCAACTTACTTTTGTAGGTTTTGTTTTTTCCTTTTTTTGTTTGATTTTCTTCTTGAATATCTTCACTCTTACTGGATCACTCTTGATGATATGCGGGCTATCTTCGATTGCTTTTCTGGCGTACTCCTCCTTTAAAAACGTCACATATCCGCAGCGTCGCGACACGTTTGTTTTGAAATCGCGCGAGATGCAGCAGTCTGTGATGGCGCCATACTTTTTAAAATATTGTCTCAACTGACTCTCTGTGTGGGTCCTTCGCAGTCCGCCTACGTATATTTTCGCCTCTAACGTCTCTACGGTGTTGTTTGTGCTGACGTTGGCTCCAGGGCTTCTACTTTAAGCACACACACACATCAAAACACTTTATTAAATCTTAGTCCATATTTAACTAATCCTTCCTTTCTTCCCTTCCTTATCTTCACTTTCTCTAACTCCTACTATGTTTTTAATAACTTGAAGTATGAATAAGTTCTTCCTGTTGCACTTACCTTTCATTTTTAATGCTGTAGCTTGTTGAGATTAGTGTTGCAGGGACCATTCCATCACGAATAATGAGACTGAACTCACTCAATTGTTGGATTACCTAAACAAAAGCAAATTAATTTATCCGTTACCTACAGTTCAGTTTTACTGCCAGTCAAAGATTCATGGAAATCCTCTTCATCCTGTCACGTTACGTTAAGGATTCCTTCCAGTGGTAGGTCTAAAATCCTTATTGCCTCTTATTTCGCATTGATTTATACCAACCACTCCGTTTCTGCAAGCCCTTACCCTGTCTTATAATTCTTTTCAAGTTCATGGTAAAGGAAAAATTCCATGCGCAAAGACTTAGCAATTAATTGGTTAAGGCAGCTTTAAAACACGCATTCCATTCCATTGATGAAGGTGATTTGTTCCAGTGTCACAGCTATCTGCATCCTTTATTCCCTTATTTATTTGATTCTAAAGCAATATTCTTCAAAGCCCACCGTGGAAATAAAAATAAACCCCACGGAAAAAGTCATTATCTGTAGCGGATTGAATGAAGTGGGTAAAGCTCTCTAGACAGCCATCCAACGTTGACTAAAATCCATCACTCAAGTCGCATCGCCTTGCATGCATACACACACCCGCAAATACGCTCAGATGCATTTAGTAACCTACCTTAATGAACCGATCAGACACTTGCATCTGTGTCATGGGTATAGGGCCTAGCTGCTTCACCGCCTCCTCCAAACGCTTGGCTTCACGTGAACACTGTTTCAATGACTTCCAACGCGCCACCGCCTTTTGCCAATTCTACAGAAAAGAATTTAATGGAGTTTGAGAGAGGGAAGGCAAAAAAGGGCAATGACGAGAGGAACGTTTGCAGATGCAGCCAGACAAGTTCGAAATACACAGTCCAACGTCCATTGCCACTCACTGTGATCCCAATCGGGGACGCGTAGACATCTTGTATCCTCCTCACTTTGAGAGAGAGGCGCGTGATCCATCGCACTAGTGCATCTACATTTCCGTGGCTGACCTCATTCACTTTCCACACTTTCAGCGTGGCAGTATTCAGAGCTGTGTCTGCCATCTGGCACAGATGCAGCACCGCTGCATCCAAGGCATCAATAATCTCATCCTTTGTCCTCTCCTCTGTCTTCAACCCCAAGGAATTTAACTCCTGTAACTGCTCCAAACGCGTATTTAAGATCGCCTTGTGGTAAGACAGCACATTCAACTTGGTGTGCAGCAGCAGGCGGTACTGCATGAAGCAAAGGAAGAAAACCATAAACCTTAGGTGCCGGTTTGCTACCAACAACACATCTTCATGAGACACTAGTTGACTTTTTAGCACTTTAAGCTAACGAGAATACAGTAGGTGTCAACAGATCATCTCATAGGCTATCGTGTTTTTCCTCACCTAGCACTCAACCAGCCGGCAAAGTATCTTTTCTTCTAAGTTGCAGTCACTCACGCACAGATACACACTTCCATAACCCCATGAGAAAGTCGCATATCATGTATACGTCAAATCTGTGCAAAAAATACCTCAACTTTATCTACGCTTTTTAGGGATAGCAGATAACTAAAACAAAAATTTTATTCCTTACCTGATGCTCTTGAAAATATGCCTGTTTACAATCTTGCTTTTGTTCCTCCTTTTGGTTCTGCTCCTGATTCCAGGAGAGCCGATTGAGCTGAGACAAAATAGCAAAGTTGGGACGCAGTTCCGCCACGTCAAATGCCTCACGACAGTGAACGCAGCGCACTGTTGTGGATCTTGTGTGAGACAGTAGGCAAGGTCGCAAGCATAATGTATGTCCGCATGGCAGACGGTAGGGTTCGCTCATCCTTATCGGCACAATTGAAATTAGAAACAAATTTCACTTTTTCTTCTCACAGTAATGTGCATATTAGCGTCAGATTCAGCAATGTTCCCTCGAAGTCATACAAGCACACCCTTGCATGCAAATGTTAACTCAATCCGCTACAATCGGCCTAGCCTTCACTGCCTACACTGTTACTGCCATAGGCACCGCTGTAAAGGAAGTATTCGTATTTGGGAAGGGGTAAAGCATTCCAGAGTTGACGAAGACAGAAGCTATTTTGCTCCACGAATCCTTCAAATTCCACTAGTTCTTCTTCCACGAAATGGCACAGCTTTATATCCCCTGCCTCTTATGCTCTTCGCAAAGCTTTGGCCTACCAGTCTTCCGTCTACGCGCCTATATAACATTTCTGATTTGCATGCAATGGTTTTGACTGTTACAAATTCAGAGAAAGCACTGCATGCAACTACATCAGCAAATGTTTCATCACATTCTCTCACTGATAGCTCTGTCATCAAACGGCTTATCCCCTCACACTAGCCTAAAATGCATCTATCCGTTTACAGCTATTCAATGGATCAGGCATACGAAATGTAAATAGGCGTTGTGAGTAAAAGTCGGCTGTACCCTGTTCGTACTTTGAAGCACATGCCAAACAGCACCTATTCATATAAATGTCTATTTAAATTGCAGCCTCTTAGTGCCACATAAAACAGGTCATTGTTAACGCAAATGACTTACAACTTTGCGCATATTCCACAAATAAGATCCGCATAAGTAATATCCATCACTTCGCCACACTCTCCTCCGACGATGTAGTGGTGTATGGCTTACACCACAGTTTTAAACTGAAAGGCACTTTGGCATTACTCTTGATCGATTCTCATGGCGGTGGAACCAATCAGTACGATGCCTTATTGCAGTATAGCCAATAGCTGTGCTCCCATGGTTACAGGTGACACACACAACCTAAGCTAGGCCCTGCAAAATAATCATCCTGCTCGTCTGCATAACCGCTACACCCCTCCCTCTCTCTCTTTCTACCTCTAATGCCACTAATAGACTGCTTGAGTGAAAAAGTGTGTAGTAGGGTGTGTCTCAACTCTTGTGCTAGTTGGATCATTCATTGGTCGTGCTTCAGTGTGCAGCCAAAACAGAATCAAGATATGCGTATAAGAGATCCTAGCAAGCGTCTTCACTCATCACCACCTCAAAGGTAGGTGATGACAATGGTGACTAAACCACCTTAAAACATCTGTCAAAGGCGATACTAATCAGCAACTAGCGTCTTAGTAGGATGAGAGTCGTGGGAGGAAACTCCACCATATCTGACAAAACCGAAGGCGCTCAAGTTTCTGTCAATCTAAAGAAGGAATAAACTGAGTGTGAGCCTGATGTAATTTACCCTGGCTAGTGAGATCCAATACCTAATAAGTGCCACCCAAGGCATTCTTTATGCCAAGGGGTAAATGTGTCACCAACTAATATGTTCATCTGTTTCATTCCACGTAGACCAGCTCCATCGTCTTGGCGGATAGACAAAGATCCTCTTGGCCTTGTTCCTGGGCATTTCAGAGAAAGAGGGATAAAGGGGAAAGGAGAGTGAGTGCGTACTCATGAGGAGGAGAGTAGATTCAAAATTAACTAAACGCCTCTTGTATATGCGTATATGCATGAGTATGCCTGCGTCCCATTGTAAACGTTAATGGGTTATAGGGCAGTTCGCAATTAAAGAACCTAAAAAACTGAAACAGCAGTCCATCAAAGCTTATTTTTAATGACTATAAGGTTAAAGTTTTCCTCTCACTTGAGACTATGCAAATTGAGCCCAGTAAGAAAGGACTACAAGACATTTTTCTAAAATTTGGCAGTGATTCTACCAAATTTACAATTTTTCGTTATGAATTCATAATTTTTGATTGGAAGATCATTACTCATATTTTCTATTCTTTTCGGAAATTCACACATTAATTATCAATCATAATTAACATTAAAGCAGCCACTCACAAATGCATTGATGACCTTGACAGATTGCAAGGAACAATGTCGTCAACCGTAGGCACATTAGGGCGTAAGAAACTAAAAAAAGTAAAGTCATTTACGGATAACAGCCGATGCTTGAATGCCCGGCTTGAGTCATGTGCGTCGGGTGTCACGTATGTCGAACACTAATAACACTGCTATTGAATGAACTAAAACAAAGCATCGTGGCGATTGTTCAAACCGCCATAAAAATTGACAAATAGAAATGGCAAAAGTGCCTGCCAGTTTGAAATTGTGGTGCGAGGTAAACTCCGTCACTTGATCAGGGGTAGGTTTGTCGAAGCGAAGGCTTCAATTGAAGCGCACCTCATTTGCTGCTTATTCTCAAATTAACGACTTGTTTGCGCTAATGCTAACATTTATTGTGGCACTGAGAGGATGCGGTGAAGCGGGACAGCATCAACTGAGAGTTAGAGCAGTGCCTATTTGTCAGGTGACTGACATTTGCCTGAGTAGGTCATTAAGTGATTCAGGTGAGGTCATGCACAGTCACACATCACAGTTATAAATTGACATATAAGTAGTGCTACTGCCCATCCTAGGTCTAAAAAGTAGAGAGGGGAAGGTAGGGCACCGAACCCTTCAGCTAATGTGACCTGCTGATTGGTTGGAAAGGAACAATGCTCTAATTGCACCTTTTAACGCCTCATTGATTCATCGCCATGGCGCATTATTAACCTTGTAGAAATATTGTTTTCGTCCCAAATTTACCTATCTTTGCAATTTTAAGAACATTATTCTGTCTTGTGCGCAGGATTTGACTAGTTTGGAAGTCAAAAATGAGATAATGCAACATTCTCATTTATGATGTAGCCAATGAGTGAAGGGATCGCGTAAATGGGATGCCAGTCCTGCTTACGAAGGTAAGGTGTTAGTGGGCAAATGACGGCATTCCTCTATCAATCTCCAAAGCCTACCAATATGTACTCTCTGTCATAGCACATAAGTGCTGTGATATATGAGAACCTCCTGAAGACGCTAAAAGCTAGAAGTGTCCGGTCGGAAAGCAAAAGTGTTGACAGGCACTGGTAAGTTATCAACAATGGTGGACCAAATAGAAGTACAGGTAGAGAAGTAAACAAGTAAAGCAAACCTAAAATGAGAATATGTCACGCAATTGTGATGCCTGATTCAAATAAGCAAATTGAGGGCTGCACCTATGCTACAGGGCAACCTTCTTCTGTGTCAACCAATAAACCTCCCTGCTCGTATATACTCCTCGTTTCATTAAATGAAGCAAATAGTGAACGAGGTTGGGCAGACCTTGAACAGTTCGCCGAATGCGTTCAGAGTCAAAGCTATGCTAACGTAAGAAGCCATGCGGAGAGAACGTCTTTCAGACGATGAGATTAAACAAAGGAGGTAGGTCACAATTAGCCGTAGCAATTGACCGATTCGCCATACCTGGGTAAACTGTTTGCTATCTAGTGGTTTGTCTTCCACCACATCTCCCACTTAGTAATATTTGATAAGACAGTCGTAACATTTCCACCAGCATTCATTTCCTCACAAGGATCTCATCACATTTGGTGCTATGGCCAATCGTAGCGACGGTCGAATCTATGCTGGCTGCACGTACTCAGTGACATTTTTGCTTAAGCATTCTGGGTAGCGCTGTATTTGTTGATTCGCACTCGTGGAAGTGGTGAAGTAGTACTTTTATCATCCATAACTGTTTGCCGCGCCGCCAAAATACTATGCTGATTCAGTGCCGTAGACAACATAAATCACCTAAAATTAAAGATTTCTGCTGCCCGTGTAAAGGTTGAATGACCACCAAACTCTAAAGGTAGGTTTGTGCATACTGATCTGTGCAACTGCACTTTAGGCAAATGAATTCAATCCTTCTAATTACACGCAGGATTCAGTAGGTCATCATGAAATTATGGCTCACCTAAACAATATCACATTTAACTAGGCCATCTCTACTAGGGCTTTGATAAACTACAGGCAGCTTATCGTTCTAGACCCTTGGAAAATCACGGAATTTGATGCTCACACTTTTCTTAACCTGTGTAATTGAGCCCTCTCAACTGTCTTCGAAATACATTTCTAATTGGATTTTGCGCACTCACACCCGCTAATCAACCTTTTGCGGAATGTCTTCATCCTATACCAAATTTAGATTTGTTTCCCAACATTAATTATAATTAAATCATTAATTATAGTCAAGGTTAAATCATACAACACTAAAGCAACAATGACCTTTTAGGGTCGCGTGTAGAGAAGTGTCACAGTTACAGGACTGCTGGTTATCGAAGATGTAAGTAAGGTGGTTTGAGTATCATTTGTCCCTAAAGCTTGCTACAGCAGGATGACAAGTTTGCTACCTCACGTAGACCAAATTGAGTGTCATAGTAAAATTACAGAGAACGTCATGGCTTTGATTACGGGCATGTTTAGTAGAAAGAAGGAGAAAAGGGGGAAAGGAGAGAGAAAAGGCATGTGCATGTGTGCTAACTTGAAGGACAGTGGGTCCAAATTTAATGCATTTATGTGATACACTACATATAGAATGTTATGCAAAAAAGAACATTAAACAGATGATAAATTTAGGTGGTTCAGTCACTTTATTTACCGTTATTATCTACATTTGTAGCGTTTGTAGGTGGCGGAAATTGCTTTTCTCTCATAGCTGCTTAACATGCTTTCGTATTAGTTGCACACTAAAACACAATCAATGCAACTTGTGCAACTGGTAGCAAAGTTAGGGCTCTCGCACTTGCGCACTTCATTCCATTCAAGGTATCAATAAGTGGCAGCGATTGAGTGAAGGAATGTGAAGAGGTTGTGGCTTTTAGATAGGCCTGATTGGCGATACCTGGTGTGGATCATGTGTGTCGACTGTGATCAAGCATGCACAACTACTGGCTGAACTGTAGTAACGCATCGTGCTGATTGGCTACACTGCTAGAAGAAGTGACCAGTAGAAAAGGCAAAAGTGCCTGCCAGTACAAAGTTGAGCAGTGCCACTGCACGCCACCACTTGACCGGAGCGAATTGTTGGCCAGCAATGGCATCAACTGGCGAGGACCTCACAGCAAGTATTTTAGCTGCGAAACAACCGCACACATGATTAATAGTAATAAGCAGTTCGCAACACTCATGGCCTGATGCATCCGCATCAAAACGGATGTGCTTTATTTTGGAAAAATAAGCAATTCTTGAAAATCCCCCAGGCATCACCATCAAACACTAGCATTGAGTTATCTTATTTCAATGTAGCAGTCTGTTCTACTAATTATACATCCCCAGTACTTAAAAATAAGTTCATAATATGCAAATTAAATAAATCAAGCATTTAGTATGCCAAAATATTTGCGAAAGTATAAACGCGCACACCTCAAAATATACTACCTATAAAACTAAACACAATACTTGTAAGTCTATTCTACAGCAGTCAGCCAAAAAATAAAGGCATAAATATTTTTTATGGCATGCAAATTGATGAAAAGGAAAGGCAATGAAGCATACTGCGAACGGAGCACGCAAATAACCATCATCAACGAAACCTTCACCCACGAGCATCGATGCACACAAAATTGAGACACGTCTTTTCCGTTTATCACCATGAGTCAGTAAATACTTACATATGATATGCACGAAAATAATTACAATGAAACAAATACATTTTCAACAAGAGCTGCTAATACCTCTGAAATAATTCCGACTAAAAAGCTTTGTATTACTAGGTGTGTTTGAGCTCTCGAATACGCGCATGTCGACCTGCTTAATTCGAATAAGTTGGCACATAAGGAAAATGCACAAATTCATATTTGCCTTCGCAAATTTTGATAAGCAACAAACGTAAATGTGCATAGCAAATAAGTGCATCAGTTCCAATATTAGATTTTCTGTCTCTAATTCCATGTCATTGCATTAGGAATATTTTTAGGACATACAAATATTTTGCCCTTAACCTTTACATTCAAAACAAGCAGTTTTATAGTAAAATAAATGCCTGTTTGCCTTTAAAAAATTCTGGCATTTGAAAGTAATGATGTCTTTCCAATCTGCCTACATAACATTTAAATAGATGCATACAGAAAACATGTATTTTAACGATAAAGTGCAAATTCTGCCATTATTTTATAACTGATGGTATTATTCCACATACTTTTGCTCTAATCGACGAGTAAATTTTCTTTACACACAATTCTGGCACTGAGTTCTTTTCTACTTTGACTCCCATTGTTACCAAGCCATATAGAGACTTCGAAGGCGCTCAATCCATGCTCTGCCCTTCACCTCCGTGACTATCGCAACTACCCCTATTCCCTACTCGTTGAAACACCGTTTAGCAGAAACCATTCTCTCTGCCTGAAATATTTTTCAAAGACTCTTTATTTTGGAAAGGGGGTGCGTTTTTCACAAGATAGATCAATCCACCTCTCCAATCGACATATTACTATCGAAAGTTCCCGTTAAATTAAGTCGCCTTATGGAAGAAAACTTTAATATTATTCTTTGAGGGGTCATTTTGATGAAATCAAACTGGGTAAGCTAGCACTTTTACTGCAAAGCAAAGTCCCAATGTGGAGGGAGAGTGCGCTGAATTGGATCAAAGACGGGTGATACCAAAAGCAAAATTAGATGGTGGCGGTGACTTCATCTGTTTCATGATGAACACAAGTAGTATGCGTTACAGATTAAAACCTCAAATCAAATGTCTTTCTCATGCTGCACGTGATGGTTGGTAAGTTACATTATTTCATTTCTGAAGGTGGTCTGGCAGATTAGCGAGTTGTTGCTCAATTAACCAGGAACATCCATTTAGTGAGCAATATATCTAAGGTTCATCACAAGTAATTACGAGCACCGCCGAGTTAAACAGCCATTGCAATGTCCGAAGGTTTACGGGGAATGCCCATAGACAATAACAGAATTTAAGGCTGATCAGGCGATCATCGAGATTACGCGCTGTGTAATTGAGCCGCCTCGCTTGTATTCTTCATGAAAAAGAGGGCGTTTGCAATCTGCAACCGTAGTGACAGTGTGATGCTTCACCCTACGATAAGCTTGCGTTATGGTCCACTGTTTTCATTTAATGATTGTGGCATAAGGATATTCTTCGGTTGGTCCGCAGTTGCACTTGCTTCTACTTACTTTTATTTTAGTAGTGCACATTTATTGCGTCAACCCCTAAAATAGATAATCTGTACACAGTTGGCTTGAAATATCTCCAGTAGTATTTAAAAAGTGATTTATCAGTAGACAAGTCAATTAATACAAGAGTATGCGATGTTGTGCTAGCCAGGTGTCGGACTGCAAATTGATGGAATGTGGCCATGCCAACCGCTGGGGGAGCATAGAAGGAAACCATGGAATCTCTGCAGCTGATATTTGTTGTCATAGTAAAATTGAGTGGCCGTTGACATGGCATCTAAATTTTTATGGAAAACAAATAACTATAATAGATTTCCTCCCCCAAATCCTTCGATAAATCTAGAGAGTAATTCCACTTGTAAAATGCATTCCGATTTGAAGAGGCAAGATAAATCTAGTCCAACGCAACTTTGATCCTCTTCACTTTTGTTAAGTAGTTGTCTACCTTTTATAATCTGCCATCGTTTGACTGTCTACCATTAGGCGATTTGGATAAAATTTGCTCGAGAATGTAAATGATGAGGATTGGTGACTACCTCATTTCCATTCATCTCATCTAAAGAGCATAGTACACAATGAATAAAGTCGGACACATCCTGATTTGCGCTGTGAGAAAGAACTTAAAACCCGAGTCCAGTGCAAGAAAAAAAAGGGGATTTTTTCCAGCCACTTGAGTAGGTAAAACAAAATTACAAAAAAATTGAATTTTGAGCCATGTGCATGGAAATGAAGGTGCTTCTCTTTAGAAACAAATAAATAAATGCATCCTAAATGCCAAAAAGTTTTTGAAAATGTTGAATTTTGTGCCACTAGTTGCAATAGAATTGGAGGATTAGCCTTCTTTGTCTTGCGTCCTCAGTTTCCCACCACAGACTAGTGTGTGACTTCCGAGGTTAACTCGGTTGTTGCTTTCCTGACTGCAGTAAACCAATCCATTCCACTTAAACACCCACTCCCCACTTTACTTTAGGCAAAAGGAAGACGTCTACTGTGGATGGCAGACAACTTCGTAGAGGCACACAATGGAGTAGCTATTGAGGTTCGACCTGCTTCCCCTTGATGATCATTTCATAATGAATTTTGCACACCATCCTGGTCAGATATGTATGATTCGCAGTCCATAACTATGTCAAATGTAGTGCAGAAAGCATTTAGTTTGAAAGCACTGTTAGGAGAGTGAAATCCACTTCTCATTGCAGCACATTCCATAAGAACTAGTGATAATTGGCGAGTGCGTAGATCCAGACTCTATCAGACCAGCAAAGAGGTGCAGAGGAAAAGTGCGCGAAACTTTGCTTAAACACCAATAATACCGCAAAATACGATTGACGCAGATTAACGTCTAACTCAAATGAACCTACTCCCACTGTTTGCAGTCAGGGCACACCACCATTGTACAGGTGACTAGAGACAAATCAGTATAGTAAAAAATGGAGCAGGATGCCTCTTGACTATGAACAGTGCAAATGAATCAAGGCTACACCGTTTCCGTTTTCTTAGCCGACCGCTGAAGACTTATAGACAAGTGTCCTAATTTGAGCTGAAACCAGAATCATCTTTTGCTAACTACAACTCATGCGATCCTGCATACAGGGGGATCCACTTTTAATAGGTTGAAGATGACCAACAACACTATCCTCTTGTGCAACGGTGCAGTATTAAAACGATTGCTCATCTCTTACTGATATCTACTATACCTCTGCATTAGTTGTGTACTGACACACGATCAGAGAATGGTGCCACTAGCAAAAGAGTTGAGGCACGATTGACAAAGTATTTTATTCCACTCAAGTTGTCAATAGGTGACAGCGAAGGAGAGAGGTAGAAGTGTAACAAAAGGTCAATCTAGCAGGTTGTTGGACTGATGGGGCCTGGTAGTGATCGTGTGCAGCAGTTGTAATCATGTAAGCATTAATATTAGCTGAATAGCAAAGGCGCTTTATGATGACTGATTACACCGCTTTATGATGAAATCACCTGTTGGGTTAGAATTGAAGTGTATTCCACCCGCTGCCACTTGATCAAAGAAAAGTGTGCTGCACCGATGGAATCAACTGGTGCCGATGTTGTGAGTTATTGGTGTAAAATGTGACATTTTTGTGACACTGACTTGATGCAATGAAATAGAGCAACATAGAATATTAATGCCGAGTGAGAGGTAAAGCGGCATTTCTTCACCAGATCATTGAAAATCTACTAAGTAGATCAGTGAATAATTCAACTGACAGGTTCGGCACGGAGAGACCAGTCATGAAGGGTAATATAGGGCTAAACAAAGTAAAAATGACAAATAGAATGGATTTGCGGTTACACATAATCAGTGGCATGTGTCTTCTTCAACTCTAAAAGGCCCCCTGTAATCCCTTCAGAAAAGTCTTCTTTTATGGGAGTGTCTGTGGCCGTACAATGTAATAGCCTGAGCGTGGACCATTGCCTTCGCATACATGCGGATGTGCGTTAGAATTAAAGGGAAAGTTTTCACCGCCTTCTCCATCTTGTGGTCTTAGTATTTTCCATTGTCCTGAGAAGGATGAGTGATCCCTACAGCCTGCTGTGCAGACACCTTCTGCTTGTGCCTTTTATGCAGCCACATACCAGAGCCATAACTGCAAGCTTCATCTACTGTTGTGCAATATTTGATGTCTCAGCTGCGTCCCAAATATACCATTTTGGACTCAAGTCTATGAACCCTCGTCGCGATGGAAGCTGAAGGAGCAGAAGTTGGAGAAGTAGTTAAGAATCCGCACCCATCTATGCGGTGCAGCACTTGTGTGAGAGCAGTCCAAGTGAAAGTGTCTGACATTTACCACCACTGTCACCGCAGCGTCTATCTGCGGTGACGTGAGAACCACCGTGAGAGTGTAAGCTTCAGCGCTTTTCAAATAGTACCATACATTTCCTATTTTCTTGACTATATACATATGTCAAGTTAGATGCTGATTTTATCCGTTGAAGGAAATGACAGAAGTAAATTGGTCACCGAACATAAACGTTGCAAACGTAAGCACTCCGTTTGTGACACGGGCATGATTTGGTTTAGTCCTCTACAATAAGATGCTGAGGCTCTCAACTCATTTTGCATGTCACACATCACGGAATGTCTCCTTTCCTTTTCTTCATGCAGTACCTTCTGATAGTCCGTGTAAAACTGAGCGCCTCGTCACATTACAAAGCAATCATAAAATTGCTTTAGAAGCAATTGCGAGGGTCAAAATTTTCTCTTTGAAAACAGCCGAAGAAAACAGATGAGGATCTATTTGCTGCCTTGGGGGGTACAGTGCTGGACCTGCGAATGGCTGACAGCAAATTACTGGATGCTGCTAGAACTAAACTGGAGATGTTGAGCCTGACAGGCGACGAGATGATATGCCTACTCGTACGACGAGTCACGAACCATCCCTTTGCGGTTCACAAAGCTCAGGATGCATCTGTGTGGAGAAAAAGAATCACAGTGAGTGGCAACGCCGGTGGCCTAAGTATTGCTAATTTCTCCTCTGGCTGCTGTTGATGCTACCGCTTTGCCTCTCCTGCCTTTTCTTTCACTCTCATTTTTCTATTTTCGTCCGTAGAACCAGCAAGATGTGATTGCGACGCAGAAGTCTTTGAAAAGTCCCCTTTGTGAAACCGCAACATTGGAGGAGATGATAATAACGTGGATGCATTTATCCGATCTGCTCGGTAAGGTAAGTTAACAAAGGCGCCTGTGCTCAGGGAGGGACAGGATGCGATAAGAGCCGAATAGTCAGGTGTTGCAGAATGTCGAAGACGCGGAATGGCTTCTTTCTCGTCTGTTTATAGTATGCACTGACAATGCGCCTTATATGGAGCAATGGCGTAAACCGTATCAGAAGGGGCAGCCGTGTCATTTCCATAGCAAGCAGGAACTAATGGAGGAAGTGGGCGTTTCCACGCAAGCGAACAAAATCATGTTCATAAGGCTGCATACATTCACATCATCAATCGACCTGTAGAAACGTTGAGCTGATTGTGATAGGTATTAGTAGGAGTATGACTGCTTGCATTATTGAATGTTCTCAGCTCAGAATAACTCCCTAAATTTTGCAGTAGAATAGAATGAAAACCTTTACATCTTCTCTAAGTTGGTATATATTGTTTGTGATATGCGGGCACAGATGAATGACAGAGGTCGTTTGAAACTGTGGTGCTAATTCCACCAGCAATTGATTCCATGTGGTAATCTCAAACTCCTAGATTTATCACCAATCCCCGCGGTGATCTCATTGATGCTGAGTATACACACCCAATGCCGTATTTGCTCCAATTCTTAGGTAATATGATTTGTTACATTTATCTTAACATAGATGTGCCAGGCATCGCCACGACAACATACTACTTTATTGGTGTTGATATTCAACATTTACTCACTCATTTCTATCACCTGTGCTGCTGCCAATCCGTCAGCAGACTCAAAAGGCAGGCAACGCCTTGTCATGGCACTGGCATGTAAGAGCAGGCGAGATCACAAGCAGATTGTGTGCCCACATGACAGGCTGTGGAGATCACTCATCGATCTTGGCACGTTGGAAAATACAAAGATCACTGAAAAGGACCTTGAAGTCAGACACACAAGTGTACCCACATGTGTGTGAAGTCGAAGCTCAATACTCAGGCTGTTCCACACTACCGCTATTGGCATTGCTGTGAAGTATGCGTTTGTGAGGAAATGCATGAGGCCTTGCAGAGTTGATAAAGACAAATAGATCAGACACCGCTGATTCATGAATAGTCACACACGCACACTTATTGTCATTTCATACTGAGTCTAATTCTGCGTTTCACTACACGGACCCCTTAAACTCCTTTATGTATGCTTCCACCAGACAGTAAGGTTCCACG